CAAATCAATAGCCCTCAGCGTAAAACGCTCTCATTGGCTGGTTCCGTCCCATTAACACCTTCCCCCGCAAAAGTTGACATAAGACTTCATTTTTGGATGCAACTGCATTCTTACGACAGGTCTCCGTAGTCGATCAGTACAGCGCCGGGTCTGGACCTTCGGTTCCTCTGAGACTTCTGTGCGGGATGCATCCGAATTGCTTTGGGGATTAGATGGCATGTCGAAACTCTCTAGTAGAATATCTAACGGTAGTAACCGAGCGCTTGTGCCCGCAGGGATGCTAGTTGGTCGCAGCTGATTGGAATGCCTGGTCCAAATCAAATTACCCACATTAACCTCATATAGCACCTGTCCAATATTTCTCCGTATCGATCCTACCACCCATTGCGGGTTTCCCGCGCGATAGTCTCTTACTAAGACACGCTGTCCGGGGTAAAAGCGACGTGCTTGAGTTCTGTGTCGCTCGTTGTAGTACTGCTCCATCCGAACGTTCCTTTCTTGCTCATTAGTACACCTCGGAGTTAGCAGGGAATTCACAGTACGGAGTTTTCTTCCCATTAGTGCTTCTGCCGGCGACAACTGGTTTGGTACTTGGGGATTTGAAGTTGATCTGTACACGAGCAAAAATGTATCAAGTATCTCCTGTGTGGTTCCTTCCCCCCGCATCTTTAGTAGCGATCGCTTAAACGTGTCGACGAAGCGCTCTGCTTGTCCATTTGACTGAGGGTGAAACGGTGGCGACCGTAGATGCGTGATACCATGCTGTGCGCAGTATTCGGCAAATTGGGAAGAAGTGAACTGAGAACCATTGTCAGTGACCAAGGTTTCTGGTATTCCGTGTTGACTGAAAAGTCTCCTCAAAATGTTAATTGTTGCACCACTTGTCGCACGCTCCATACAGAAGACCTCAGGCCATTTACTATAGGAATCAACAACTATTAGGTACTGCTGACCGTTTAGGGGACCAAAGAAATCAGCGTGCACGCGTTCCCACGGTTTTGTTGCCAACGGCCAGGAAGCTAAGTCAGCTTTTCTCGGTGCCTTACTAGCAAGCGCGCATCTGGGACATGACATGTAGTTAATGTATCTGTCATGTTCAACCGTTCCGAGTTTTCGTAACAAAAGGCGAACTTTAGATGAATCATCGAGACCTGACAACTCTGCCCTGAAAACATCTTCATAGCGCCTGAACCACGCATCGAATATTAATCCTGAGTCAGGATCGAATATGAACTCATTAACACTACTGATCATCGCATCCGCCGAAGGCTTCCCATTGTTCTGAACGACCGTAGGCTGCACAGATAACATTTGGGTGAGGGTTTCAATCATACGCAGCTGTGCTGTTTCAATTTGCTGCTGTTGCTGCAACAAAATGATTTTCAGGTCTTCCGCTGAAATTGACATCTTGATCCACTACCTTCCGTCGCCAAAAATCAGCTAATGTGTCATGGTGGTGGGGACGTCACAGTTGTCGGTAGTATCAATTGCTCTCCGAATCTTCAGGCTGTCTGTAAACAAGACACAAGGACACCGAAGTAGCTGAGGTAGTTCGTTGATTTGGATAAGGAAAATATGGGTCTCAGTACTGTAGCTTGGAGTACGCCGCTGGTGGAAAGATACCAATCAATTAGTTGATCATCCACTCGTATCCTTCCCCTCTGCATAATAAGGAATTTCGTAGTCCACTAGTGCAGTGAGCCACCAACGCCGCATATCCTAAGCTTGTGTAGGAGAACGTCAACGTTCAGTTTGTCGAAAAGTTTACTGAAGTCAATGTAAATCACGTCGACTGACTTCCCCGGTTTAGCGCTTGAGATCATTCGTGCCTTGTTACCAGCAAGCTTGTGATGCATGAGCGACATTCGTGAAACCGTGCTGTGCCGGTGTCGTCAGGTCCTTTAAATCCAGCAGCTGCAGCGGACCTTTCGTCACGATCTTCGCGAGTACTGGCAAAATAGGAGGTCAGACAAAGTGGCCGGTAATTGTCTACCTTGCTTGGGTCACCGCCCTTCGAAAGCGGCTTCACTATCGTTTATTTCCAGTAGCTCGGCAATGCACCTTCGTACAGTGACCTGTTGAACAGACAAGTCAGGGAAGACGAAATGATGACCGGCAGGTTTCGCGCCCTCAAGACTAGCGAGTAGATTGCGTGCATCTTCTGCACTGCAATCCAAGATGTCGAGTTCGGTTTGGGCTGCACAGTCGAACTCGGTACAGATGTAGGGCCATTTGAAAATGCGGTAGAGAAGCGCGCCGCCAATGTGAACGCAAGCTCGAGTAGGGGCTGTCCGTCAGAGCTATCTAACAATGTGACGTCATCTGTAGGCCTAAGTGGCCGCTTCGTGTAAGCATAGATCGTCTTGGGAACAGCTTCGCCGAGGCCGCAAGATGCTTCACGAACTAACGCCGTTCATGTGCTTTGAGGTTGTTGCATAAACTCCGTAACAGATCCGGACTAGGGGAATTTATTCAATAGTAAGCGTCGCCGTCGAGTCCACCGACCATACTCCTTGTCGAACCAAGATGGTTTCAATGGCCCAATTTTCCGAAACTTGAAGAAGACGAACAAAGCAGACAGAGATTTTACACGTTCTTTTATAGTAGACGAAAAGATCTCAACGGATGAATGCTGCTGCAGCTACCAGTCCATTTGAGCATCGGTTGGAGTGAGACCATCGAAGTCAGGCATCCAGTAGTCGTAGAATGGCTCCAGTGCAAGGTTGGCCATGATCATCGAGCGATCACTCGCTGCTACAGGCACCACGACCAGCACATCATGCATACGTCGTTCGCAGCTAGTCCACACCAGGTCCAGACAAGACCGAATACATGTGGTGTAATGGGGGTCGGCTGACGGATGTGTTGTGGTGCTCTAGCGGGGCCTTTAAATCGGCTAGTGCCTTTTTCGTCGAACATCATTCTGTGCATTAGATACTGCAGATATATCAGTTTTGTAAGAATGAGCTTAGATATAATTTGTTCAAATGACTTCCCAGGTCATTGAGGCCAATTTATTCCATTCACCTGTTGTATATGAACGTTGGGATATCGCGCATTATCCGCTGTCTATTTCCTTTGGACACAAAATTTTATGTCAACTAGAAGTTATGAAGAAACACTTTAACGAAACCGTTTTCTCTTTTAAATGGATGCAAATCCCGAAGAGTTAGTCCAGCATCAGGCGATCCACCGAGTTACCACAATGCCTTCCGTCTCATCTTTCTACCCATTTGTAAACTATAGCATTTTTGATGGTACAAATTTAGTAGATTAACATTCAAATAAGGTAAAGGGCTGAAAATGCACCCATTTGGGTACCTAAAGCTTATATTGACTTGACTTGCTCCATGCTTAAATATTACCTTAACAAACACAGCCTCCACTTCACAATGTTCGGGGAGAAGTTGAACCTCAAACCGGTATTGGAGGCAAGCGGGGAGGACTCATTTAATTACGGACATATGCAGCAACCATCGCATGGTTCTCCAAAGACGGTTCCAAGTGGAATGCCAGCTGACGAATAACAGCACTGTGCATGCAGTATGTTACAGCAGGAATGGCTGTTTAAACGCGAGCTGACGACACCCATCTACACGCACGGTCTGGGCTGTGAGAATTAAGGGCGATGGCAGAATAAATTGTACAGAAGAAACCGTGGTTCTATATAAATGATAGTGAATTAAATAGAAACGTATAACTTACGAATGGGGGAACAGACTAGTAAGTAGGTAAAGATATAATTCCACGTGGTCAGTTCGGGCAGTCCGCGCTCATTCGATGAGGTAATAAGTGGTACGTTAAAACAAAGTGTTCGGAAGTCTGAGTTTTGCATATCGTTGTCAGTAGATAGTGAAAGGTCATATAATAAAGACAAAAAGAAATTGTAAAATAGGCAGTGGTTAATTGGGTTCTGGAGGTGATCTATAGCATTAATCTGTCCAATCATCGTGGTTACAAATGAGGGAAATGTACTACTTGTGAATAGATAGTAGTAAAGTCAGTGCACCAACCACATGACACGTAAACATTGATGGTCACAGTCTAGGCGGTCTCTTGGTATCCTTTCCGAACCGCAAAATTAAAGTACAAAGCAGTTGAGCATTCATTTAACCGATAAATAGGATAACTGCGCGTTTGCAACAGTCGTCCCACCCCTCAACACATGAGTGTCATGTAGCGATTTCAAACTAGCGGTTTCGCGAAGTTCGCAATATAACGGCCTTCTGTGTAATTGTCCCATAACTTAGCTCAAATTGTCTACGTTCGGGAGTGCCACATTGTCTATCTGAAGGGGTGACGGGTTATGGTACCAGATCGCCGGTACCTGAATAAAAAAACGAATTAACGAGTGGGTGCTTAAAGCTGATAAACCATAGACCATCCACCTTTTGCTCTAAGCGAAAACAAAGGCTGTCACGTGACAGTGACCGAGTATGTTGTTGCAACGAAACGCTAAACCCCATGGAGGTGGAACAACGTGGACGACACATGGGGCTAAAAGCCGAAAATTCCCCACTACCCGACAGTTAGCCAAATCGAGTGAAGTACACTCTCAGGTTGCAGCCAGTTGGGGCGATTGTAGCTCATGTCCTCACATTGATACAGACCAAATCAATGAGAATTTGGTCAAACAAGGTCAGCGCAGAAAAACACTCGATATGGTGGGAGGGGATGAGAGCGAATAGCCGACAAACCAGTCACGTGAAATAAAAACCAAGTAGTTAAAGACTGATAGTTACTGATGGTAAGAATGGGCGGACCCCATATCCTAACCCTGAAATGAGTTAAAAAGACCAGCGTACATCGGTTGAAGTCAATTAATTCGGTCAGTAGTGAGAACGTAGGGCGCCGGAAAAGTCCATCTCGTTCTGTGAGGCCTGAGATTGACACAATCAGCGACAATCTCACGGATGAATTCTCTTTGGCAACGACGTACGGAGACAAGTAAAACAGGAAACACCCACAGGTGAGTCAGATCAGAAAACCCCCCCACATACCTCTTCACGTAGAACGAAATTCTCCTCTTCCAACTCACGAACCTTTCGATTCAGATGAGTGAAATTGACAGAGGCCAGTGAGAATCCTTCTGTGCTGTCCGAGCTGCGTAAGGAACGGGTATATTAACAGATATTTATTCCACCGGAAATGGTAGGGGCTATGCTTCAGAGTGGTTAACCAACTAATCCACACGGCCAGAAGCAAGAAAGTGGTCATCAGCATGAGTGAACTTAATGAACACTGTGCGACTTCCTCAATACATTCAAGAAAAACGACTTTTGACGGGGTGAGTCCGCACTCAGGGTAGTTGGTGTCGTACTTAAGAGGTTCCCCAGCACAGGGTCAGCAAAAACAGAGATGAATGGGGGGATTTGAATAAACTTACGTATGGCCGACGGCTAGCAAAGGTGACATATAACCCGAGGAGATAGTTGTGTGGTCGTCTACAGAGTCATCTTGGTGATCACGGGAGTAGATCTGAAGCAGACTGTCCTTTATAGATAAGGTGTGGCGTAGTTGGTTGACCTGAGAAAATGTTGAACAAGTGGTTAGGTAAGAAAAAGGCATGTGGGAATACGACTTAAACAAAATAGTGGTATCGGATTGTCCCAAAGCGCATGAATGTCAACAATATCTATCCATCCACGTAGCTTAGAAACTGCTGGAGACAGTCAGCCAATTGTGAGACTCCCAAAATTAACCAGCACGATTGATCAGTTGATCTCCCTTTCTAAATTGCAACTTGACAGCTACACGAAGATGGCAATCGGGGTAAACAGTAGATGAGAGTTTAACTGTTTAACAATAAGAGAGGATGTGATGAGAGAGCCATACTCTGGGTACATGCTTCACAAGCAGAAGTGTTACCAGAAACAGGAACACACTGACACTTTGTACTGATCCTTCGCTGCCTTGTACAGCCGTAAACGCAAACAGGCAAGCTCAGCAATAAAAAACGAGATATATGAAGTGGGAATCAATGTAGTGAACAAACATCCAAGGACGAAACACCGATGTGTTGCAAACAGCGCGGCTGAGAGAAATGGTTATTTTCATGAACTTCAGTCTGTTTTTTAACACAGGTATAGCAACATACTGTGACCAAGTGACTAGTTATCTGAACTTCTGTTATGATCTGTACTGTTCGATAGCAACCATCTTCATCCGTGCTTTTCTTCACCCCATCTCAAGCAGTTTGGTAGGCCCAAGGAAAGAGTTGTCAGAAGCAAAGATTGTGATTTAGTGAAGTCCCTTTCTGCATCACCTCAATCATGTCTGCGTCCAAACAATTCTGGGCAACAATACTTGTCGTGAGATTTGGCGGATGCTGAAACAGATCAGCGGAATCACCCGGCAAAGCACACCGTCTGAAGTGGATGTAGAAAAATTAAATCGTAACTTCTGGTGTACTAGCAGTGACTCGTTCTCTGAGTCACTAGCTCTACTGTTTCATCAGTCTACGGACTCACTGCCTCCTATCGACGTCGCATCACTGCACAAGAAGCTAACGCAGCTGCCCTCAGGCAGAGCTATACACAATGTGCTTAGAGCAAGGAGAAATCACGGATGGTTAGAGGATAGTCAGCATAACACCAGTGCCGAAGAAAGGGATTGGTAAATATCGGTCTATTGCAACCACCTCAATGGCTTTGAAAGTTTTTGCGAAATCATTCTTGAAAAAAGGCTGATCCAGTCCCACTTGGATGACCCATTTCAGTTTGCGTAAAAAAGTTCAAGATCTACACAAGATACAGTAGGGTGTCTAGTGTAGTCAGTCTTGTCGTCGCTAGACAATAAGAGCAAATCCACACGTGTTTGCTTCCGCGAATACAGCAACGCTTTCGGTTATGTTAACCGTGGATTGCTGTTGCAAGATCTACAGCCGTCTGGTATTCAACCTTCCAAGGTATTCTTACTAAAGGATTATTTTGCCAACGTATTCAGTTCACTAGGTTTGGCGGCAAAAGCTCCACACCACTTACCACAACATCCGGTGCTTTTCAAGGAGCTATTTTGTCACCATTCTTGTTCTCTACTTACGTTAGCTCTATCCCAGTCCCAGGACAAACCATAGGGTTAAAATATGCACATGACGTTATGAATGGTGTGGATCATCGAATCTCGGCCTCCTTAGCCGAGCTGCAGAGCTGTTTAGACGAATGGGTGCAGTGGTCAAACTCCCGTTGCTTAACGCTGAACGCGTCCAAGTGCAATGACATCCCTTTTTCACTACAAAAGCAGCTAGTTACCAAAAACTTGTCATGGAATGTCCCAAAGTTAAGATTGAAGGTGACAGTTTAAGCCTCTGTACGTCAGTCAAGTATCTTGGAGTTACACTGAGCCAGGATTTGTCGTGGTCACTCCAAGTGAATCAAATATTCACCAAAGTCAGGCGACTATCGTTACACGTCGCTCGATTGTGATCATCCTATGTACTATACAATTTGATTCTGAAGTTCATCAATGCATGCATTCTACGACACTAGATTTATTGCTCCCCTGTAAGTTTTCCAAGACCATTGTGTAAGCATCTCAAGCTACTTGATAGGTCGCTGAAGCACTTGTCGCGTTGCAGTGGTATTCCAAAGCCAACTTTGCCAAAAGTCCCTATATCTACGCAGGTTAATACATGGGTGAACAGTCACATGTGGAAGGTTCAAGTTAGAACCTCTATTGGGGTTAACAAGCACCGTATGAAGACAAGGTGCCTTTCATCGCTTCCGTTCATGCTCCTACTGTGTGCAGTTCGGGGGATACTAATTATTTCTACTACCAGCCTTCATCCCTTCTCCGCATGGTGAAGACTACCAACATCGTGATTGTGGTTGGTGACCTAAATGCTCAAGTGAGTAGCCTTTCAGATTCTGAACAATACCTAGGAGGGCGCTTCGGAGTCGATACACACCGAAGCGACAATGATGATCGAATCCTGAAACTGTGCGCCAGCCACAATCTTCATGTTAGCAGCATTGCTTTCCAGCACAAAAGTTCACACCGCCTCACCTGGCGCCCACCGAATTCCTCAATGACCTAGATCTAGATTGACCACATTGCCATCAGCTACAGGTGGCGCACAGCAGTCCAAGACTATTGGTCAATTTGGAGTACATGCCCGGGTTCCGATCATGCTCTAATGTGCACATGCTTAGCGCTCACTCTGCCCACGTCGAAGATGCGCCCATCTCCTAATCTTCTTACTTGCAACTTGAACTCGCAGTCTGCAGTTCAACAATATCATATCGAACTGGCACACCAATTGTCAGCGATGAATGAGGTTGGTGAACCGAACACTGACTGGGATCAACTCAAGGGTGCCATAAAGTACGCCATTGACGCTTGCTGTGCATCCAACTTCAGATATCGTAACTGTGAAGGGATCTCTGAGGCATCGATTAGCTTGATCGAAGCACATAAACAGGTTCCGATGGGCGCTGTTTCGGCATACCCGTAACTCCCTAAGATGACGTCTGACAGGGAGTCTTCAAGTTGATCGGGAACGTTGGTGGGTAGCAAAGCCCAGTGAGATGGAGAATTCCACTGCTACTGGAAACAGCTGAGTTCTGTTCCAGCTCATCCGGAACACGGGTCCGAGAAAACCATCAGTTAGCGAGACAATTGCTAGGAAAGATAGACTGTTGATCCATTCTCAGTGTCGCCGACTATCTCGTTGGACGGAACATTTTGTGGAGCAGTTCAGCAGGCCCGCTGCGATACTGGTGCTTGCCGCATTACCTCAGCCGACGTGGGAAGTTGATTTCACACCTCCCACTTTGGAAGAGATTCAATATGAGCTTTCCGTGTTGAAACGAAACAAGGCACCTGGACCCGATGACCATCCGCATTTTTGCTGAAATATGGTGGTGACTCTTTGTAGAATGGGCTTGCTTCTCTTTTTAACACGATTTGGGACACTAAAAAAGTGTCTTCAGACTGGCGACTAGCAAATGTTGTGTCCATCTTCAAGAAGGGTCAGTGAAGTTTGTGCGAAAAGCATTAACCCTATTTCCATTGCCACAAAAGTTCTCACGGGTATCATTCTTCGACAACTTAATGGTCCCAGTGAGGACCGAGTCACTGAAAGCGAGGCTCGTTTCTGCCTTGGTTGTGGTTGTATCGATGATATATCGACTCTTCACCAAGTTTTACAACAGGGACACACATACAGGCGACCGACTATGGTGGTTTTCCTTGACTTGAAAGCCGCGTTCGACACTGTTAATCGATACAGCTTGTGGTACTGTCTATCTGTGTAGGGCGTGCCAGCTACCCCTTTGCATTCTGGATTCACTTTATCGTGATTCCTGAGGCTGTATAAGGGTCCATGATAAACTGCCTCCTGAGTTCAACACGACAAGTGGGGTTGGCCAGGGTTATCTTATAACTCTTTCTTCTTCAAGTTTGTCATCGAAGCGATCATGAATGACTCTGTTCTTTCAGACATGACTGGAGTGAAAGTTCTGCCAGGTGACCGACTGACAAACCCGGAGTATGTGGACGACATAGCTCTTATTGGGTCCGATGCAGTGACCATGCAAACACTACTGCACAGACTTTGTGCAGCGCTGCACGGTCCGGTGTGTGCTTTGCACCTTCAAAGTGCAGTTTTGTTGCGGGACTGGGCCGATACCCCCGGTTTTAGCTATCTCCGAACAGCCACTGGAAGTGGTGGATCGGTTCACTTGATAGCCGTGTCATCTCTGCTGGCCCCAGCACGGAAATGGTTACTTCGCGTATCAGCAAGGCCTGTGTCGCTTTCCAGAGGCTCAGCCATCTATGAAGACGGCGGGATATAAGCCTGTCGGTAAAACGTAGAGTTTATAACACTACCGTAAGGCCGGTCTTATTGATTGGATCAAAGACCTGGCCAGTTCGCAGTGAAGACACTAAACGCTTGGTCGTGGTTGACCACCGGTGCTTGCGGAGTATTGCTCATATCTGGTGGGTACATCGGAGGACCACCATTTGGTTTTTTGGCAAGAAGCTTTCTGGCGCCTCTCTCGAGTGTTTGTTAACTCTTAGTCGTTTGCGTTGGTTAAGCCATGTTCTCCGTAGACTCGTTGATCGGCTTCCTCGGCATGGATTATACGCCGTGTCTGCAACAAGGTTCATCCAAGCGAGCGGAAACCCAGCCACCTCTATGTTCGAACGAGCCCACCTGCCCACCGGCTGCAGGCTCCCCAGAGCAATGTCCACCCGTTGCTGGAGACTCAACTGGTGTGCCTGTGTTGCGTTCTACGGACACTAACATACAGGTGTACGATAGCGCAGGCGTTGAAGGCCAATGGAGAATGCAGAGAAGCAGAAGGGAGAAGACAACTATCAGCAATCAGCGGCGTTGTAACCTTATGATATATCGCGTGCCTGAGTCGATAGATGCTAGTCTACAGGCTCGTTAAGACCATGACGTAGATTTTCTGCAAAGCCTGATTGATAGGCTTCTTTCTCGACGTGAATGAACAGGGGTTGCGAGTGAAGCAAATCACTCGTCTTGGAAAGAGAGAGGAGGGGAAGTCCCGGCCTCTGCG